TTAAGTTTATTTATTTATTTTTGAGAGAGAGACAGAGAGAGGGTAAGAGAGAATGTCAAGCAGGCTCTGCACTGTCAGCATGGAGCCTATATGGGGCTCCAACTCACAAACCATGAGATCATGACCTGAGCCAAAACCAAGAGTCAGACATTTAACCAACTGAGCCACCCAGACACCCCATGGGGCCAGTTATTCTTGATGATAGTTTTCCCTGTGATTCTTGGTGGTGTGTTCATGGTTATAAAGGTCTTTAATGACTACATAGGCTCCACTTCAGTTTTGAGGGGTTTCTCTACTAGCATTTCCTATATAAATGACAGGTCTGACCCAGAGTTCTGGGTGAGGGGCTGAATAAATGATACAAGCTTTCCTTTGGAGTGTGTGTGTGTGTGTGTGTGTGTGTGTGTGTGAAGCAGAAGACCAGCTGAGAATACTGACAAGTGTTAAAATAGGAGAGCTTTGCTCAGGCGTTAGAGTCTTTTGTATATTTTCTCTTTTTGCTGGAGCTGCCTCTTCTCTCTTCCCTATTCGACTCCTTATTTGATGAAGATCTTTGGAGTTACTTCAAGCCCTGTTCTGCTTCTCTGTCAAGTCCCGACACCTTCATTTGGCATTCTTTCCAGACAGGTATTTCACTTTCATGAGAAAACATTTCTGCAGTTCCCTAACTTTATCCTCTGGATAAAAATTGCTGCTGCTAACTTCTCTGCTTATGCTAGTGAGAGGGAGGAGGGCCTTGGCTTCCCAGTGGTTCACATACTATGCTTTAATGAGTTGCCCTGATGACTCCCCTGTACCCCATTACCACTCTTGGTGTTCGTTCACTATATTCTGAGGAAGACCTGTTCTAACTCTTAGCTCTTGTAGAGCGGTGTATATTCTCTCCTTTTCTGAGGGACCAGTCATATCTTCATTCTGCTTGTAAAAATGCCTCAATATTTCTGTTTTCCTTATGGCAAGTATTCTCATTTTTTAGTACTGTGACGTAAGTCTGATGAAATACACAGTGAAATACAGTGAATTTTGGGAAGAAGGACATGTACCACGTGCCCTCTTCAAATGCAAATTTTTAAATACTCTTCAAGTTTTTATTTTTTTTCTTCAGATGTTTCACTGGCTGGAATTCTGCATGAGTGCTCATGTGTGTGCACACACATGCACATCAGTTGTACTAATGAGCGGACTGGCAGGATTTTATCATGTGTTTTGTGTCTTCTTTCATATTTTCCTTGGCAGTTGGGAAAGTACAAATTTTCATGGTTGTTATACACTGTTTTTCTATATTGATGCTCTATGAAGTTCATTTCAAACATTAATCATCAAGAAATCAAATAAGTTCTTGAATGTTTAATGAGCCCAGTTTAATAATCGGTCATGAGAATTGAAATACTTTCAGGTTAAATGCTTTTGTACTTACAGAAAAGAATTTAATGGCAGAGTTTAAAGATTTGATTTTTTCTTTTTTTCCTAGTTTTACTTAAATATAATTGACATCTTATATTGGTTTAGGGTATACAACATAATGACTTAATATATGCATGTATTGCAAAATGATTACCACAATAAATTTAGTTAAGATTCATCACCTTAGGTAGTTAGAATGTTTTTCTTGTATGAGAACTTTTAATATTTATTCTCTTTAACAAATTTCAAATATATGATACAGTATTGTTAACTATAGTCACCATACTGTTCATTACATCACAGAACTTATATTTTTTTCTTTTTTATTCTATGCTTATAAGACCATTTTAGTAATGTGTAAGAAGCTTTAGTCAGATTAAGAGAAAAATATTTTAAATATTTCTTTTTCAGCAAAGAATCGCGGGATTGCCATTCCAGTGGATTTGGACAGCCAAGTGAATACTCTTTTCCTGAAGAGCCATTCTAATATGGTGCAGAGAGCAGCTATGGGTTGGAGACTATCTGCTCGCTCTGGACCACGTTTTAAGGAAGCTCTTGGAGGTCCTGCTTGGGATTATAGAAACATCATTGAAAAGTTACAGGTACAATAATAGCATGGAATGGCTTACTATTTTCTAAATTATAATTTTTAATATATGTAGTAACACAAATAAAATATGGTTAGAAATGTCAAATTCTAATTGGGGACCAGGCTTTACTTTACAATTCTCTACCAATACTACTCTTTTCAATTTTTATTAATGTTTATTTATTTATTTATTTATTAATATAATTTGTTGTCAAGTTGGCTAACACACAGTGTATACAGTGTGCTTTTGGTTTTGGGGGTATCTTTATTTGTTTTTGAGAGAGAAAGAGAGACAGAGCATGAGCATGGGAGGGGAGACACAGAATCCAAAGCAGGCTCCAGGCTTTGAGCTGTCAGCACAGAGCCCAACACGGGGGTTTGAACTCACAAACTGCGAGATCATGACCTGAGCTGAAGTCGGACACTTAACCAACTGAGCCATTCAGGCGCCCAATACTATTCTTTTTAAAAACATAGCTTCTATGTAAAAGTTGTTTAGTTATTTTTAGTGAGTATGTATTACTTAATGTGTTTGAAAGTATAGTAATGAGTTGTAATATCAAAACAATACCATAATAATAAGATTTGGAGAAATAAGTTACCGTAAATTCTCATGTAATAAATTAAATATTCATAACCTAGTTTCAGTTTATCTTTTAGTATTCTCTTCTAGTCCTATTGGTGAAAATGATGTAACCACCTTTGGTCCCAAATTTTTTACATAGTATCCCAATCCTGTGTTTGGCCTGGACATTCTGGGGACATCAAGTAAAGAGAGACATTACATTCATTTACTCAGGCTGCCATCACAAAATACCACAGACTGGGTGGTTTAAGCAACAGAAATTTATTTTATCATAGTTCTGGAGCTAGAAGCCCAAGTTCAAGGTGTTGACCCAAGTTCAAGGTTTCTTTCCTTCTGAATCCCCTCTCCTTGACTAGGTGGCCACCTGGTCACTGTGTCTTCCTGTGGTCATTCTTCTGTGCGCGTACATGTCTGTATCCTAATTGCTTCTTGTTGTAGGGACATCAGTCATATTGGATTAAAGCCTGCCCATATGAATTCATTTTACCTTAATTACCTCTTTAAAGGCCCTATATACAATAATAGTCACATTCTGAAGTACTTCAACATATGAGTTTTGTTAGGGAGACACAATTCAACCCATAACAGAAATCTTCCCACCCACATAATTGTAGACGATTTCATGGAGTCAATTAGGGTATGGTTTAAGGAAATTGTTTGGCTTGGAGAATAGTCAAGACGTGAACTGGAATAAATATTGCAAGAGGTCACATGTAGAATAATTGGTAGAGGTCCAGAGTTTTAATAGCTGAGTGTTATATGTGATTAAAAAGACAAGTTAGACTCAGTATGAAAAGCTTGAAGGCTATGAGTCATTAAAAATTTGGTGGAAATGTCATTATAAGTGATTAAACAGTTACTAGTTTTCAGGAAAGAATTATCAGGAAGAGACTAGAAGAGGACAGATTAGTTAAGAATCACTAAATATCTCAGCCAGGTGGCGGTATGAATGAAATGAAGAAAAAGGCCTTGCATCCAATAATGAAAGCAGGGTCAACAGACCTGGTGGCTCCTAGATGGAGATAAGAGAGAGACAGTGAGAGGCATATAAGAGGCACTGCTGTTTGGAAACCGGGTGATATTATTAAGACTTTTTATTGTAGCAGGGAAGGAAAGAATACAGTAAAAGGAGGTTGGCCATGTTCATTGATAATATGCTGAATCACATTAACAGATTGTGAAATGTATGGGAAATTAAGTCTATATTTGGAGATATTAGTTGGAGCAAGGACAGCAGATGGTGTTGCTAAAAGAGAGAATATAGTGATAGGAAAAACAAAGAACATCTTGTAAGAGGCCAGGGTGGCAGAATGGCCAAGTAAGAGAGACAAATGGCAGGGTCAAAAAGGAGAGGAGTCAGGTTCGTGAGAGCCAAATGAGTAGAACATTTCAGAGAGAGATGGACAGAAGTGTTAGCCAGCATAGAGAAGGAGTGCCTTGGACTTCTTTTGGAACACTCACTGGCATTCATTAAATAAATATGTCTTTGGTGAAAACAATACCAGCTACTGTGTGCTGGAGATAGAGCTGTGGGCTCTGTGCTCTCATGGAAGGTCTGTCCTCACCCATTACATGGATGCTTTAATGTTAGGTAATTAAAACTATGAGGGGCACCTGGGTGCCTCTGTCAGCTCAGCATCTGACTCTTGATCTTGGCTCAGGGCATGATCTCAAGGTTCATGAGATAGAGCCCCACGTTGGGCTCTGCACTGACAACAAGGAGCCTGCTTGGAATTCTTCCTCTCCCTCTCTCTCTGCCCCTCCACCACTCGTGTGTACGCACACGTGTGCTCTCTCTCTCTCTCTCAAAATAAATAAATAAACATTAAAAAAATGCTATGAATAAAATAAAGCATGGTAACAACATGGTGAAGAAATACTGGGAGAAAGATCTTTTAGCAGGGAACTCTACTCTGTTGAGGTGACATTTGAATTGAGATTCGAATTAATGAAGAGGAATAATCTATTCAAAGATTTGAGGACAGAGATTTTTATTGGGAGAAAATAGTAAATTCAAACGTATTTAGACCGGAATGAATTTGGCAGTTTTGAGGAACCAAGAGAAGCCCATTGGGGTGGAAGTTTAGTGAGCAAAGGAAGAGAGGATTATGAAATTAGGAACTCAGTCATGTAGAGACTTGCCTGGTAAGGCATTTGGATTTTATTCTAAGTGAGATGGCAAATCATTGGAGATTTTTCAGTAGAGGATAAGCATGACATGATTTACTTACTGGATTTTGAGAGATAAACAGATTATAGGGTCCAGACATGGAAGCAGTGAGTCTCTTGCATTAATTCAGGCAAAGGATGATGGCAGTGTGGCTTAAGTGGATAGTGATAGTAGTGAAGAGAGGTAGATGAATTTTGGATATGTTTGGTTGTAAGGCCAGCAGGACTTGGTAGATGGGTGGATGAGTTGTGGGGTGTTGGAAAGAATAGAGGATATGATATGATTGAATCATTTGCTAAGATAGGAATGGGAGAATTATAATCAGGAATTCTTTTGGGGGGATTTTAAGTGTGAGATACCTGTTTACATATCCACGTGGGTTTGTCAAACAGGCAGTTGATTGGAGTCCAGAGTGGACATCTTGGCAAGATGTCCATGCAGGAAATATAAATGTGGGATGTTCAAGCACATATAGGATATTAAAACCATGGACTTGGATGAGATCCCTCGTAAGAAACGACCAGGAACTACTGGGAGTTGGCGGTGGAAAATAGAGAAAGTATGATGTCACAGAAGCCAAGAGCAGAAAGTGTTTGACAGAGTAGAAGCAAGTGTGTAAAATGCTTAGCAGTGGTTGGGTAAGATGAGGACAGCAAAATAAACACTGGATTTATTAATAGGGTGATGATTGCAGCTAACTGGTACTGCACAGTAATGATTACAAACATGTATCAAGGAATAAAAAGAGGCCAGTATGTGTTAGAGGAGGTTCTACATACTTACCTTTAATTCTCCCGGCAAACCCATGTGATTGGGAGTATAATTATCTCGACTTTTAATATGGGGGAATAACAAGTTAGAGAGATTACATATTGGCCCATGATCAAAATAAACGATGAAGACAGAATTCACATCAAAGGAACCTGAGCACAATTTGTTTAGTAAATAAAATGAAGAGAGGTAATCTGAAAAATAGGCACCTTTTAGTGACATTTTATTAAATATGGTTATAGTTGATAAGCAGATTTTCTTCCCACCTTATATAATATCTAGTTTCCGATTTATGTTATTTCCTTCCTGGTAGTTTCTTTTACCTGTCGTCAGAATTTTCTCAGAAAGCTTATTAGAATAGTTGAAGTAGAAATGGTCACTTTTTCTAAAAAGGAAACAAAGAATCCAGCAAGAATTAACTCCTGAACCCTAGACATAAGAAATGAAGAGAGGTGGTACCCCCATCTGTGCTGCTATAGCTGAAAGTAACAGAAAGCAATTTACACCAGTTTTCTGCTTAACAAAATATGTCACAGGTATGGGTGAAATTACTCCTGAAACCATCATTACACTATATGTTCACTAACTTGGATTTAAATAAAAATAAATAAATAAAAGGAAAAATAATATTGCCTTATGTGAGAAGATTTTTTTTTGTCTTTTAACACAGTTATTTTAAAAACAAAAAAGGGATGCGTTAGTCATTAAAGAATCTTCAGTAAATTGTCATTGCCCACAGACCATTTTAGAAACATGTTGGTGCGAATGCACTCAGCTATAATTAACACGATTATAACTAAAAGTGGCTTAAACAATAAAAAAAAAATACATCATTCCACATAGCAAGGAATCTGGAGTTGGGACTCTTCCTACATTGGTTAATTTAGTAGCTCGATAGATCAAGGCACTGACACTGTTGGTCTGTTGGCTTTCAGCTTAAGGCTGGTCTCCAAAGGTCGTATGAGGGCTGCCTCACATTTTGGGTTCACATTCTCAAGCTGTCTTGAGAGCCTTAGGTAGTTTCCAAAGAGTATGCCCCTTCCTCCCCTAACACACACCACCGTCTCTGCTTAGCAAGCCTCACCCGATGTCCTGTTAGCCAGGACTGTGTCACATAATCATGCTTAGACTAATCACTGGGAGGGGAACTGGAATGACCATTATTGGCTTATACTAATCAACCATGACCCTAGGCTGAGAGGCCTCATCTCCCTGAGGACGTTGCTCCCTAATTGAGAAACAACATGGGAATTCTATTAGCAAGAAGGATGAAGAAAAGCTCTTGGTTAGGTGACCAGTAATGTCTATCAAAAAATGTAATTTGAGGGGCACTTGGGTGGCTCAGTCAGTTGAGTGTCTGACTTTTGATTTGGGCTCAGGTCATGATCTCATGGTCGTTGGATCACGCCCCACGTCAGGCTCTGCACTGGGCATGGAGACTGCTTGAGATTCTCTCCCTCCTTCTCCCTTTGCCCTTCTCCCTGCCTGTGTGCTCTCTCTCTAGAAAAATTGAAAAAAAAAAAAAAAGTAATTTGAAATAGTATTAAATGTCATCAAATCCCTGTGAAGTGCTAATACTGCTTCAAATATCATATCAAGGAATTTCCCTGTTGGAAGATATGGTTAGTTCCAGATGATCAGAAACACATAGAGAATCTTTTTATTTTTTAGCTGTTCCTCAAAAAATATCCCGCTTTAGCCAATTTGCTGAATACCTACCGGGTCTCTGTTAAAATCCTAGATACTATAGGGCTCATCACAGTGGCTTTACTGACTTTTCACTTTGTATATATATCCTTAGAAATCATCTACCTACCCACCCTTCTCTTATCTTGTAAATGAAAAAGGTGGCCCAAGCAGTACTCATATAGAAAAGCAGACTGTACTTAAAGCACAGACTTTTGATGCCATGGGAAGGTAGGGAGCATCTCTGAAATTCCAAGTCTCATTTCTGGTTAGTATTCTTAGGCCTGTCATATCTTAAAAGTATGAAGTCTGATTTAGATCTTCACATGGGTTCTCTTGTGCTTTATTTCTCAGGATGTCGTGGCCTCCTTGGAACAACAGTTCAGCCCAATGATGCAGGCTGAGTTCTCAGTGTTGGTTGATGTGTTGTATAGTCCAGAACTACTGTTCCCTGAGGGGAGTGATGCAAGAATAAGATGTGGTGCTTTCATGTCCAAGTAAGTGTGTACAATCTGAGATTCTGCTTGTGTTACCAAACCAAGACGGCCTCTAACACATTTCTGCTTTTTACTCTGCTGGTACATAATGATAGTCCACAGAGTACATGAAAGGTCTGAAATGCATGTTAAAATATACTTCCAAAATAATTAACTTGATTCAATTGAAATTTCTCTTTGATGAAGGTCAGGTTATATTTTGCTGAAATTTCCTGAAAATGAAATGTGTCATTATTGGGCACAAAATTTCACATGCAATTGTTTTTTTGGTTCTAATTCCTCGCTATAACCATATGGGGTGACCTTCCAAAAGATTCCTGTTTCACGTCACTTATTTTCTTTAACAGAGAGGAAGGAAGGGGAACTAGCATTTATTGAGGTCTTACTGTGTGCATCGTTGTCCTCCGTGTGCTTACCTCTCGTATCATCTATCTGCACGAACACTCTGAGAGATTGACGTCTCAGCCTCATTTTAGTGGTGAGAAGGCTGAGGCATGCTTCAGATGAAGAGCTGTGACGTCTCGGCCCAGCACCCGGCCATGCTGCCTTGATCTTCCTCATCTGCAGCCCTCTCATTTACTTATTTCTCTCAGCATTTTTTGGGGAATTGTCAGATCTAGTATAGCTGATGTGTTTATCCTAGAATATTTCCATTTTTGTGGTAAATGAGCAATTCTCAAGGAAGAGCTGCAAGTTCTGACAGAAAATGTAACCAGCTCCAGAAAAAAAAGAGACATATCATAATGCTGAGGGCGCTCACTGAGTAATTCACTCACGACGGCCTGTCAGATGTACTTGGTCTTCTTGGGAAGAGTATTTTGATGGACAGTCGGAGGAGGCTGCCAACCCCTTGACCATTATCCATCACAGCTAATTCCTGTGTCATTGAGGACATTGCTCAAAGAGGTCTCAAAACCCCCTCTGTTGACTGTGATGCACTGAGGCAGAAATGGAAGGACTGGGGGACACAAGAAGTGTGTTCTTGCTTTTTCCAATTAAAGCTGGGATTTGCAGAGAGAAAACAAGATATGGGATGAGAAGAACTGACTACAGGAATCATGTTGAATGGGTGGTATTTCTGTATTATGGCCTGAATCATGGATTCTTGGCTCTAGACCCTCTCTGTCTTATAGGGACTGGAAAGAATGTGTTTGTCTGGACACTTGCCAGTCTCCTAACAAGAATTTTTAAATGAAGAGGTCCAGAGTATCTGCAAAACTGATGACTGTGGAAGCCATTAGAAAAAAAATTCAGGGGGCGCCTGGGTGGCGCAGTCGGTTAAGCGTCCGACTTCAGCCAGGTCACGATCTCACGGTCCGTGAGTTTGAGCCCCGCGTCGAGCTCTGGGCTGATGGCTCAGAGCCTGGAGCCTGTTTCCGATTCTGTGTCTCCCTCTCTCTCTGCCCCTCCCCCGTTCATGCTCTGTCTCTGTCTGTCCCAAAAATAAATAAACGTTGAAAAAAAAAATTTAAAAAAGAAAAAAAATTCAGTAGAGATATTGGGTAGTAATTCAATATAAAAAATAGGGCCTTTGGGAAATATCCTTTACCTCCTGTGAATGTATATCAATGCATAGAATATTAATTAGAAAGTGGGTAATAAAAATATAAAAAATAAAAAGTGGGTAATAAGTGAGAATTTTAACTCCAGGAAATTAATATGATACTACAGATATATCCCAGAGGGTTGATAATCTAGAACAGGACTGGCAACCACTGGCTTCACGGTACACTGGTCCTTTTGATCATTTTTACAAATAAAGTTTTTTGAAACATAGCTACACACTTTCATTTACATATTGTCTGTGTGGCTATCATACCAGTGTCAGCTGGTGGCCACAGAGGTTGTATATACGGCCCACACAGCCTAATCGTTTACTCTTTGGCTCTTGAGGAAAAAAGTTGGCTGGCTCAGTGTCAAGAATGAGGCTGTCAATACAATAGTTACGAACTGCACATAGCTATTCAAGTTAAAATTTAAGTTAATAAAAATAAAAATAAAATATTCAGTTCCTCAGTCACATTTGCCACATTTTAAGTGCTTAATAGCCATATGTAGCTAGTAGCCAACAAATTTATAGCACAGATACGCAACATTTCAATTATTGCAGAAAATGTTATGTTGGATGGCACCAGTCTAGATCTTAAAGATATACATCTATGAAAAGATGATATAAAGTTAACTCAAAATGCCAAAAAAATATTGACCTGTGCTGCAAATGTGCTGAAAGCAAATCCGTTGCAACACCAGGTATCTAAAAGGAGAGAAACAGAGCAAAATAATAGTGGGAACATATTACAGATAATACACCGAGATGGGAAAAAAATGTCACATACTTTAGTGGTTAGAGAAGAGATTTTTGTGTTATTATGATTTTAGTATGGCCAGTGACTTGGGAATATCTGTTTTCTGCTCTAGTGATTATCCTACCCTTTCCCTAACTCTGTGAAGAACCAAGGGTTTTATTTGCAAGGATATCTAATGAAATTAGAATCCAACTTTATTAATAGCTATGCAAGAGCCCTTGTATTACTGTGCAGAGCTCTCTGGTAAAGCTTAGCTAGAGAATACAGCTTAGGTCCAAGGCCTTAGTGGGGCTTCTGACTTGCTCAAATGAATTTCATTCTTGGAACATGTTGACTCAGATGGGTCTGCTGGAGAATGTGAGGGATAGATCCCAGGAAAGAACCCAAATGCACATGTCTATTTTGTCGTATGGAGAGAGAAGAGAATAAAGAGAGAACAGGTAAATGTGGGTGTTAACCTTTAAGGCATCTGGTTACAATATTCAAATCACCACTTACTCCTCCCTTATGAAGGATAATCTCAGTGTTTATCACACTGTGGGATGTGTTTCACTTATGAGTTTAAAAATTAATTTAGAAAGAGAGGCAGCCACTGATTTAAAAAATGAATTAGGGGAAGATATAAAAATCAGAGTTCATCTCATATAGTAAAAGTAACTTTTGTGTTAGTTTAATACACCTGTATTTATATGGTGAGTTGTTTCATTAAATTTATTTTTGCATAGATCATAGAAAAAAATATTAGAAGGCCATGGATTTTACTCAACCAAACATTATGTAATGGGCAAATACCTTGTATAAACCCCTAGAAGATGGTATTCACCCTTATGCTTGCTATTTGCAAATCGTTAGTAAATTAAGTATTTATCTAAGAGGAGTTAAAGAAAATTAAAATAGTCTGAGAGAAAAAAATAAAAAGAAATTGACAATGCCCACCAAAACTATTTTAATGGATCAAAGACTACTACGTGAAAGAAAAGACCAAATAACAGAAGTTTCAGGAAGGCAGATATTTTCCTTGCAAGAGAACTCTAGAAGAATTATTCTGCCTGCTGAGCCTGACCACGTGGATCTAGAACACCTTGTCTGAGTTCACGTGTCTAAGAGGAAATCACTTTTCCTTTCCTGCATGCTATTCCTTCAGCATGACCTAGGTATCATTGAAAAGTATTGCTGTCCATCTGTTCACCCAGTCCATAAATTTCAGGTGTCTATGATCTGCCCTTCCTCCTCTTCTTCTATTTCCCATTTGTCATTACTTACCAAGTCCTGGCTATTTTATTTCTCTATTACTTCTTGCATCATAACCCCATCACATGCCCTGTTCACCCCTGGCCTTGTTCTCACTCTTCCATGTTGTCTTTCACATGTGGGCAGGGCCATTCAGGTCCTTGATAATGGTGGTTCCCTATTTTCTATAGAGTAAAGTCTACTGTTTAGCATAATATTCCCAGTTCCTTCTTTTCAGATTGCATGTCTTACCCTGTCTTCTTTCATGTCTTCATGTGTCAGCTGGCAGTTGGAGTACTTATCATTTCCTGTATATGATGGTCAGCTTTCTGCCTCTGCCCTTTGTTCATATTGTGCCCTTTGGAAGGATGTCTTCCCTCCCCACCTTTCTCTGCTAGGTGAAATCTTCATTGTTAGAAGTTACTCTTCACTGAAACCTCTGATCAGCCCTAGGAAACTCCCCCAACAGAACGTAATCATTTCTTTGTCTAGTTTATGGTATGTGCCATTACCTGTGTTGTAACACTTATCATATTATATAGAGGTGGCTGTGTGGGGACTCTCTTCACAGTAACTCTGAGACTCAAGAGATTAGTAAATGCATGGTGTCACCACAGAATGGTGCTTCAGAATCTTGACTCTGTAGTCAGATGGACTTGGGTCTATTTCCAGATCCCACCACTTAATGATTGTGTAACTGCAGGCAAGTTGCTTTATCTCTCTGGGCCTCTGTTTTCTCTTGAGCCCGATAGTAGAACGTGTAGCATTGTGAGGGTGAACTGAGAGAATCCATGGGAAGTCCTCGTACTTCACCTTGACGCCTGATAACCACTTACTAGGTATTATCTAGTGAAAGCTCACTTTTCCTCAGGGTTTCCCCATGGTACTCCTGTTATGTCACTGAAATGGGACCATTACATTATGTTTGACATCATTTTGTTTTTCTAGGAAGACATATCTCACAGGGTCATTGTAGGAACCAGGTTTTTAAGAGTTATATATGTTAAACTATAAATAGTGATTATAAACATTTTGCTTGGTTTTGAGTTCTTGAGGATGTTATATAGCTGTGATCCTCAAACTCTTCTCCTGAGAGGACACCAGTGCAAAGGTTACCACTACAAAATTAGAGTTTTTGCCCAAATTATAGTAAAATAGTCAATGGAGGGGCACCTGGGTGGCTCAATCAGTTGAGCATCTGACTCT